CCACATAATTCATCTTTAAGACGAGCCCAGAAAGAAGTCTATATCTTTATTTTTCTGGAAGATATGAATTTTTAAACATTGGAGAAAAGAAGCTTCAACGCAGGAAACACGGCAATTTTAAGATAGGATACTTTCAGCATTTTTTTAAACTTATTATAATTCGGAGAATAAAACTAAGCGACATGAATAGTATTTTTATATGCACATTTATTTGTTATCTTATTCCATTCCCTGAAATATATATGGATTATCTTATGTAGCAATGAGAAATAATTCTAAAGCAAATACTTCTTAAATATAGACCAATTTATTTCCTTAACAAAATATATTTATTTTACACGTTTATAAAAATCTAAAATTTGTAAATATAATATACAAATAGTATATTTTAAATTTATATAAATTTATGTAAAATGCACACCTTCTGCATTGAATGCATGTAAAAGGCTGATGAAGTCATCTATGTCCATAGTCCTAGCTCGTTTATTCTTAGCATCGGCTTTTTCCAGTATATGATTTGTCAATTGCTTAATATCAAAATTATCAGGTACAATCTATAAATATGTGTCAATTAATGTAAAGTATGCTAACAAATATTCTAATATAAAAAAAGCATTTATATTTCTATGTTTAATATCATAATTTATCTTAATATATCAAATTTACCTTGTTGTTCAAACTACAATGAATCTTATAATTTTTCTCTAACATAGTGATAACTGTGGTTTGTTTGAAAGCTGCGGATAGTGTTTTATTTTTTCTCATGAAAGCGATCCGTGTCAGACCATCCCATTCTTGATAATTAATTGGAGGTGGTGGATTTCTTGGCTCAATTCTAACTACGTTCGACTCTACCTTAGGTGGAGGTCTAAAATTATTCTTTCCAACTTTCATTAACATATCTACTCGTGCCAACAATTGTGTGTTGATGCTTAAACGACAATATAATTTGTCGCCAGGTTTGGCCACTAAGCGTTCTGCAAATTCTCTTTGAAACATAAGTACAGCACATCTGAAAAAAAAAAAGTTTACTTTATTTCCACTTGCCTCATTTACATATTAAAAATACTAGGTCTACTTAAAATTATCACAATATATTTTTCTTAATACTATATAATTAAGAAATCAAGTATATAAGTTTATATATATATATATATATATATAAACTTATATACTTGATTCTATTCTGAGAATATAGATTTATAAATTTCTTAATTATATAGTATTAAGAAAAATATATTGTGATAATTTTAAGTAGACCTAGTATTTTTAATATGTAAATGAGGCAAGTGGAAATAAAGTAAACATTTTATACATATATATATATATATATGTCTGTATGTATGTATATATGTATGTCAGAATAAGTAATTTATTGCTCTGTATAAGAGCAACACTGACATAACCGACAGCTTTGATTTCAATTTTCACCTCATATTTGCTTTGGTTTTATAATTAAAAAAGTAAAGGTTAGGCTACAAGTAAAGAAGTATAAAGTGAATGATAATCCATTCTTTGGAAATCTATATTACATTTACCAAGATCTCTGTCAGAATATTTTTCACAAATATATAATTACCTGAATAGTGGTCTATGTGAAAGTAATTTAAATACTAATGGTGATGATATCTGGTATGGGATGTTAGCAACACATAAATCAAAAAACGGTAGATCTGATTTTAAGACATCTCCATACACTATTTGTAACTTTGATTGATGTAAAGTTCCTTGAACACGCTTTTGTAATTCTGCCACCATTCTTGGATCAATTTCACATGCTATTACTTTCTTTGCTTTCTCAAGCATTTTTACAGTCATATTGCCCGTACCAGGACCAATTTCTAGTACAACATCGGTCGGCCTAAGAGCAGCTTTTTCAACCATATTTTGAATAATTAAAGGATTTTTCAGTATATGCTGACCTTTATCCTTATTAAATAAAATTCCTATAAAAAACCAATATATTTCTTACAATATCTTATCACATGATACATGTGAATGATTATTACATATTAGCTTTTGTACTACGTAATATGCATTAGCTTTGTAAATATATAGGTATATATAAAATATTAAAAAATATGTACCTTGTCTTGCCACTTCCGTGTGGACGCGAGAAGTAATTTGCGTGCGAATTTTCGGCATTATGTTTGATTAGAAATGAAAGATTTGAATTATTATTAATGATTCGATAACCATGTGGTCCACCACAGTCCACCACACTACCACATGTGCAAATAACTTTATAATCACAAATGTCTGCAGTACAGACATCTGTGAGTATAATTCATAGGCTGCATTTGGTTTAGCATAGGTTAGTTAGGTTAGGGAGGATTCACATGGATTCACACATTGAGCGGAAAGGCAGAAAACCAATCTTTCTACATCAGAAGAAGAAAGATAAACTGAATTAGTGTAGCCAGTTCAGCTATAAAAAACAAACCTTATAAGTGCAGGAGAATAATCAATAAAATAAAATATAAATCTCCGCTAAGTGGGGTTTAAATCTTCGCTAAGTGGGGTTTGAGTCTCCGCTAAGTGGGATATTCGAATGCGCGCGCGCTATTCGAATATACATATGTTGTATATCTCACTTAGCGGAGACTCAAACCCCACTTAGCGAAGATTCGAACCTCATTTAGCGGAGACTCGAATTAGTCGAATTGCATTTATATTTATAGTGCGGAGATTCAAACTCCACTTAGCGGAGACTCAAACCCCACTTAGCGGAGACTCGAACCCCACTTAGATTGTCTTCTCTCTGCCTGCGCACACTGGACACGGAAATGCTGCAGCTTGCGAGTCTTATGACCTGGCATAGGACATATTGTAGATTTTATAGAACTTGACGTATAGGTTACGTCAAGTTGGTTCTACTAAGGCATATAAATATAATTAATGTATATGTATATGTATATGTACTACATACATACGTAGTGCTCTAGTTCTACATTAATTGTATCGCAGCGTTATAATAACTACAAAAATGTATGTTTTATGTATCGTTTTGAATTCCATAAGACGTTTTTGAAAATTTAAAACTTTAATAAACATCTTATTAATAATTTAATAGGATACAATGTTCTCTATTATAATGTTCTCTGGATAAATTTCAAAATAGAGAAAAAAAATTCGCTCTCACAATGACTCAATTATATAGAGATAAGAATCTATAACTTAAATTACATGAAACTTATTAGTAAATATATGAAATATATTTAAAATTAATCAAGATTCTCTTTCTCTAGCTTTTATATTATATATATTTAGAAACTAAATGAATGAAATTGATATATATTATAAATATAAATATCCTTTCCTAAATTTATTACTTGTCAAATATTGATTTCTATAAAAAAAATTCTCTCTCTCTCTCTTTATATACATATATATATATATATATATATATATAATAT